TGAATATATCACAGGGATCTCTCGAGGGGCCTTGAAAGGGGTCCATGTGGCTGAGACCCTGAAGACTAAGCCTCATGGAGAATCAGCCTCTGCCAAGTCCTCCCTCCGCTTCACCCAGGAGGAGAAAGAGCAGCTCCCTCCTACCTCCATGCTACATTGACCTCAGTCCCTACTCCACCCTGCTCCATTTCAGGGGTGATAGCTTCCTTCCTGTTGCCCCCCCACCCCTATCAATCAGAAAAGGAATTTGATATTCCCCCACCAGTAAAAAATATATATACTTTTATTTCCATTTTTTTTGTCACTGCCTATGGGTAGCTAAGGGGCAGCCATCCAGTGCTGCTGTAACTCTAGGTTAGAGACGGCAGGGGACAGCCATCTCTGCAAAATAGTGTGGAGTGGGTGTAGCTTGCCGTGCTCGGGAAAATGGCTCTCTTCCTTTTCCTCAGTGGGGATTGAGATTGGTTGGTTGTGATTGGCAGGAGTGTGGACAACCATAGCTTGGGCATCACCTGCCTTTGCTCCAGCCCAGAGATTGGATGCAAGAGCTCGACTATCCTGCCAAAGGGCACACCGCTATGCTCCTGTTGTGTTAGTATTCAAGACTGAATAACTCAGCCTAGATGAGGGGAATGGGATGGATCCCAAGGCAAGGCTAACACTGCGATGTGGGATTCTCCTGAAGCAATGGAAGAGACCTCAGGAATCAACAGTCAGGAAGGCTGAGAGCTGGCGCAGACCCACCAGCAACCTTCTGAGATGGACCTTGGCTTGCTTGCTTTCTTTATGGAACTATGCGAATAGGCAAGATTAGTGCATGCTTTAATTTTCGTATTCTTCCTATCTTTTCAGTCCCATCGGGGACTTGACAGGAAGTGGATCCAAGTGCCTGTCCAACACTCTAGGGCCTCCAGGGGGCGCTATGGCCCAACACACAGCCTGGCCCAGCGGGCCTCAGCCTAATACACCACTTTGGATTTGTTTTCTTTGGTTTACACCCACTTTGGGTGGAGAAAAAAAAAGGAGGGACGACAAGAGCGCCCTTGCCATGGACATGAGCATGCATGGCCATGAAGGGGAGGATGAGGTCAGAAGCTCTGGCCTGCGGGTTTTGGGGGAGCCCCTGTCAGGTCCAGAAGGGAGTGCCATTCTCCGCAGGTGGTGGCATTCTCTGCAGCCTTGCAGCAGCCTCCTCTCTCTGTCATCACCACCACTCCTCCAGCTCTCTGTAGCCACAGCCACAGCAGGCCCCCAAATTCCTTTCTCATGGAGAAGTTGCAGCAGTTAGAAAGGGGAAATACGCTAAGGAACTAAGATAAATAATGCAGAATGAAAACACACACAGAGTTCCAAGAAAAATGTCTTTCCACTGGACCTAAAGCAGAGATGCTAACCCTGACCCCAAATGCTGACCCCGAATTGCTCTTTGGCCTGCCCCCACTGGGCCCACAAGCTGCCCTTGTGCCTTGGTTCAGCGGCTCTGACCCAGAAGCCCTCCTCTGGGGCTGCAGGCTCTGGGAAGCCTCAAACACCACCCCAGCTAGCTTCTTCCCATGCCATGCAGTTAGTAGGATAGAATGGAAACCCACACAATCAGAAATCTGTCCCAGCTTACTGAGCCTTACCTCAGTGCCACCTTCCTGGGCTGACTGATTCCCCCTTCTGCCCCAGGTTAATTCTAAGCTCCTATTCCCCAAATCTACCTGGGGGAGAATGTTCCATAACCTTGATGATCCACAACATCAAAGCATTTTGAGGACCAGGAAAAGGAATGTAAGGCAATGAGGTGTTGCAAAAGCAAGGGCATTCCAGCTGTAGGGGACAGCTGGAGTAAAGGAAGGGAGTGGGGAAGTTGTGTTTGGGAAATTGTGAGATCTTCATGTCAGGCAAGCAAGGAACTCACACAGCAGGGCATGGAGGGAAGGCTGGCTGGCAAGAGAAATCAGATCAGGCATCAAAGGGCCTAGAATGTCCCTAAACGGAGCCCCCAAATGTCTATTTGGGGAGCCACAAGAGACATTTAACAGTTTCTAAGCAGGCAATGGCCCAATCCAAGCAACATTTTAAAAAACTGTGGCAGGAGGCTGGAGGTGTTTGGGAGCGAGCAGCTGGGGCAGGGAGCTAGAGGAGGAGGCTGTGGGCAGAACTGGGGAGTTCTACGCCTCCTGCGAGTCAGGGTAGAGTCCAGTGGAGGACAAGTAGTCTCGCTGTTAAAGATATTCTCTGTGGGCACCTGGGTAGGGAGAAGGACATGGACATGGGAGAATCCCTAAGACCTGACAAACAGGTAGCTGTGGAGCAGAAAAGTACCAGAAATGACTCCTGAGCCCCAAGCCTGGAGGGCAGCAGGAGGAGGTGCCATGCACAGACACAGGGGAGCCAGGAGGAAGAGCTGGCTGTGGCCAATGGGTGTGTGGAGACCAAGCAGCCTCACCCAGGCCTGGGGGCAGAGCCACTTGTGATGGGGACCCTCCCTGGAGGCAGGGGCCCCTCTCCTCCCTAGAGCCAAGCCCAGCTCTGTCTTCACCAATTGATATTCAGGACTGACTGAAGCAAGAGAGAGGCCCCCTCTGGGAGACCATTTTTCTGAAGACAGACTTCGAGACTGTGGAAGAACATGAGTGGAGAGGAGAGCCCGGTACAGCAGCTTGGGGTGCTCAGAGGGTGAGAGGAGAAAGAGCGTGTGCTCCAGCCATCATAGTGGCTTTCCCAGGTGCATGGGGAGGAAGAGGTACAGTAAATCCACCGTTGCAGGGAGGTCATTAAGCCTGAGCCCAAGAGAGACCACGGGGTCTGAGACAGCAGCCAGCAGTGGCAGAGCTGGAAGGGAGCCAGCCCACCAGGGCTCCAGGAGTGGCTCACTGGGGCCTGGCAAGGTGTCCTTGGTGGAGTGCTTCTGTGACAGTGCTCAGACACAGGAGGGGCAAGAGTGGAAGGAGGTAGGGACAGGGGACAGTTCTTTTAAGAATGGAGAGATATGACCAGAGAAAAAGAGGGGGGATCGAGACTCAAATAGAAGATAGGATGGGGCAATCCCGGGAAGGGCAGACGAGGGGACTGAGCAAAGAGGTCCCACGTCCATCTCCAGGGTGGAAGGTGGGGAGAAGAGAATGGGAGAAGAGACTGAGAAATGAGGAGGCGCATGGACCGCTGAGAGCGCCCGCAGGGCTCTGCCAAGATTCTGAGTGCTCTCCACTAGGGAAGACATAGGGTGCCTACTGGAAACGAAAGGGCCAGGGGTAGGTCTACAGTTAGCTAGAGAAGTAGAGCACATATTGAACAGCTTTGAGGGTTCCCTAGAGCACTGTTTCTCAACTGTAATGTGTGTACAGATCACCTTGGATCTTGTCAAAATGCAAGTTCTGATTCGGCAGGTTTGGGTAGGGCCTGCGATTCCAGGGACTTAGAGAGTGGGAGAAGGAGATAGAGAAAGAAACTGGCATAAGAATTCACCTTAAAGGAGAGACCCGGTTTTGAGCAACCCACCTGGGGTAAAAATCTAAGTGGGAATGGCAGCCCCTGTGTGGGTGACAGGGAGGAGGGCACAAAGAGAAAGGGATGGCAGGGAGGAAAGAGGAAAGAGGTCAGGGGAGGAGGTGGGGGGACATTTGGGGTGGGGACTCAGCAGTGCTCCCTGAGACCCCTCATCTGGGTCAATGTGGGGCAGAACACTAACTGCCCCACACTTGGAAGGCCCCCAAAAGAGGATGGGAGTCAGCTGGGCCAGGAAGGTAATATTCCAGGGCTGTCTGAGCATGCAAGCAGCAGGCAGGGTAGGCAACCCCCGTGCTGTTCTGCAGGAAAGTGCTGGACTCGTTCTGGCCTTGCTCAAAGCCTGGCCAGGACACATGAGGCCAGTCTGTGGGGAGAGGGACAGGAATGGCCCTGCCCCAGGGTCGAGGGTGAGATGATTTCTGTGCCAGGAACTAATAAGAGAGGAATGGAATCTGAGAGGAGAGGTGGCTGGGGAGAAACAGGAGAGAGCTGGGCTCTGAGCCCTGCGTGTCCAATTTGCAGTCAGAAAACAAGAGGTTTCTGAAAGGCACCGGTGGGGAATGAAAATATTTTAGGTTTAGGCAGCCGAGGATCGGGAATAGGGACTGGGGGGTGGAGGGAGGTGCAGGGAAATCGCTCAGCATGTCGGGGCCCCAGCCTGAGAGAGAGAGAGAGAGATGTTTCAGTCCTTTTCTGTAACCGAGGTCAGGTACGCCAGGAGAAACGCCGGAGGACAGCGCCAGCGGGAGAAGAACATCAAGAGTAAAAGCTTGGAGGCGTCAAGATGAGCAGCAGATCTGGGAACAAGGCGTCGGGCGAGCGGAGTACGGCGGGTACTAGGGGGAGGGAGATGAGGCCGCGAAGATGCTGGAGCTTCGTCCAGTGGCGACGGGGAGGCCGTGGAGGTTCCTGAGGGCGGCGTGGCACGCATCTGCCGGCTCCCTCGCCGCGCAGCCCCGGATCCTCCCTGCCCGGGCCTCCCTGGCCCCGCCGGGCTCTTCTGTTCCTCCCGCGGCCTCAGCCAGGCCGCAGCCCCCAGCCCGGCGACCGACTCGCCAGGGTCCGCCCCGCCACCGCGGCCCGGGCCCGGCCGCTCCTCCCCCGATGATGTCACGTCCCCGGCCGCCCCTCGGCCGGCCGCGCCGCCCC